AGCCGGTGTACCAGCCGTATTAGAACCTAATGGTTTGGTACGTGATGACGGCAAAAGACCAGATGGTATGTCGTTGCTGCCTTGGAAGATGGGTAGGCCTTTGGTGTGGGACGCGACTTGTGTAGACACCCTTGCGCCATCACATCTTTTAAGCACCGCTGCATGCGTTGGTGCGGCTGCTTCCGCGGCAGAGGCCCTCAAACGGCGTAAATATTCAAATCTAGTGGGTAACTACTGTTTTGAGCCGTTTGGGGTCGAAACACTTGGGCCATGGGGTCCCAGTGCACACTCTGTGTTTAAAGACATCGCCCGTAGGCTAATCGACTCTACACGTGACCAGAGGGCTGGCTTTTTCTTCGGACAGAAAATAAGCATTGCCATTCAACGTGGCAATGCTGCCAGTCTTCTGGGAACTTTCCCCTGTGATAGTGATGCGGACGAATACTTTGACGCCTAAATTAAGGGTATAATTTTTGTTGTTTTCTTTTACTTTCTTTTTTATTTAATAGTTTAGTTGTAGTTAATTTTAAGTTGTAAATATTTATGTAGTTATATAAATTATGATATTCATAAATAATTATATATTATATTATTAATTTGTAGATTAAGAACCACTACCACTGAACTTGAGAATGTTAATCAGTAATTTTTCAGAACTTATAACTTTCGTGTCACAAGGCTGAAGTGAACGACGAATGGAATAGAGTAAATTGTGAATGAAATGAAAATATTCATAGTTACTTTTAACAATTTCTATCTAGAAGGAGCACATAATATTGGCAGGCTTATAGGACAGTGCCTTAACCACTTGTCTGTCGATATATGAGACACAACAGAAAACACGTCGTACCTCAGAGGCCTTACGTTCGGCGTAGTACGCGTTCGGCGCTGTGATTGGTTGCTTCATTGGTGACGGCCAATCAGAGTGCCGAACGCATACTCGTTTCGAATACTTTAGACATAAATCATACTCGTATTAAGGCCTCAGGTAGATCTACGTTCCGACACTTCACAGGTTTTTTTTTAAGGGGGGAAAATCATCGAATGACTGCTCCCGCCTGGGTGAGGCGGGAGGGAGTGTCAGACTCTTACTGACTAAAAACCACCCCGTTCCTTCTCCTGCACGTCGAGCCAGAGCCCCGGTTACCCGTTAGGTTCTCCGCGACAGTGTAAGTCGGCAGCAGCAGTGTAAGGAAATATCAAAACTTTGACGTAACACAACTAACGTTGGAAAGATAAATATCACATCACACAGAGAAACACGTTCTGCAGATGTTATGCATGAGATCTAGGCTCTAGTGTTATAGGCACTAAATACATAATAAATACTTAGTAGATAATTATGAAGTTGACTGTTTATTGATTTAACATCAACGTTATGAGATTGGTTATTTGTTTAACATCGATTTAACTATTACATGTAGGGATAATAGCATTAAGTTAAATAGAAGATTTTTTATGTCCCTCTTGTAACCTGATGGTAACCAAACTCGTGGACACTTAGAACACATAATGAGTTACAAGTGCGTTGCTGGTCTTTGGTAGCGAACTGAAAATTACAATAATGCTTTGCTGAACCCAAAACTCCTTGTTCGGCAATTCGATTAATGATTATTCCAATGATACAGTGCTATCTTATACGAAAGAAATACTATGGAAGACTTTCTTGTTAAATATTGGCTTTAGAATCTATAGTACTTTGTAACACCATTGTTATAATTGTAAACCAATAACTCACATTCAAGGAAATAACAATAAAACTATAATATTATGGCTGCGTGGGTAAAAGCCCGCCACAATGAGGAAATCGATGATTTCCAGCGATTTTACCATAATAGCGGAGCGATTTATACTGAGACCGAAGTGGCACACTTCAATGTAAATAGTCGCGGATGTGAGGTCGATTCGCAGTGTGAGCGGACAGCGGGACGTTAAGTGGAGCGATTTTGCATTTTTTGCAATATTCGTATCAAAATTTCCTGTGGCTGCATGGTTTATACAATGTTTTGATATAAACGGTTTATATATCTACATTAGTATTTCGAAAGTAAGAAACGCTAGGCGTACAAAGTTTGCCCGATCAGCTAGTGTCTTACTAGAAGTACTCTAAAATTATATTAAAACAAAAAGTTTACTCCATTATCCTTACGTAACAAGAAAGTAAAACAAATGAATGATGGAGTTGTTAGATAGGTGCTATAAAATAGTACTCAAGTTTCTTTAATAAACTGACAAATAAAAAGGTAATAAGTGCCAAAATGGCTACTCAAAACAATATTTAGAAGTTCCTTACTACTTAATAGCTCTTTAGAACAGCTTTCTTAAGGTACTTACTACGTTTAATGGTGCTGTTTAAAGCGAAACTTTTGATATTTTAATGTGAGTAAACGTGAAAAACTTCGTTATAGGTAACTTGACATGAAAATGTATTACCTAAAGCGGGCAAAGTTCGCTAACTAAGTACCTACGAACTAGAATATTTAAAATTTAACTTAAAAAAATGTAAGAGATCAATCGTGGAGATTGATAGATGGTAATCTATCAGTTCTTATGCGTAAGTATTTAGAAATGACTCCGAGTTGGATTATATTATAATTTTCGTTAGACAAACCAAATTAATTATTAGGTATGTTTTTCAACTTACTCAAGAAATTATTTGACAGGGAACTCGACTACTTTCAAGCCATGCTAGAATAGATCCAGTTGAAGCGCGACAGTCACCGCATCGTGGGTAGCGAACGCTCGCTGTTCATGAATATGAGCCTCTAACATGGCTTGAAAGTAGTCGAGTTAATAATAATAATTAATAAAACAGGTCAGCCATTAAAGATTTATCATATAACTAGCTTTCACCAAGGTTTTTCCACATGTCTTTTCAAGAAAATCTTCTTGACTAAATTGGATGAATAATTAAACACAAAAATGAAACTAAGAAACTCACTTTCGCATTTATAGGTACCGAATACATAATAATTATTTAAGTTATTATGATAGTACCGCTAGTCGCTCGCAGTAGCACCGCCGCATAACCTCATTTTTTCGACCGCCGGTATCGTCGAAGCGTTACGAAAGCTTATAATTCACTCATAAAACAACACTTATATAATATAATTGCATATGTACACATCTATATCATATACAGACCCTTTTTTTGATGAACAGATGTTGTATACAGCCTTGGCCAAAAGTATTAGGCACCCTATGAATTATTGCATATTTTTGATTTATAGAGAAACAAAACTACTTTTGTTGATTAATTAACTTTATTTCTATTACAAACATACAAAAACATTAATATTTTGTTGGACCACCCTGTAAATTTATCACAGCAGCTACTCTGTGAGGCATACTGTGTACAAGGTTTACGCATTCCTCTTGAGAAATTGCTTCCCATTCGTGAAGTAAGGCGCATTTTAATGCAGTTTTTGATGTTGTGGAATATATTTTGATTTCTTTCTTTAAAATACCCCCCAAATGTTCAATTGGATTTAGATCCGGGAACTGGGCAGGCCAAACTAACAGGTCAATACATTTGTCAGTAAACCTGTGTAATGTGTCGCTGTATGACAAGGCGCGTTTTCCTGATGAAATTTAACACCGTGTAAATTAGTGTCACCAAAAATACACGAAAATGAAGGTATAACAGCACTTTCTAATACATTTATGAATTTTGCACTGTTCATGTGACCTTCGTAAATGCACATTATGCCGACTTCATTCACAGCCATGCAGCCCCAAATCATTACGAGGCTTCTGCCGTGGTTTATGGTTGGGACTACGCAATCTGAGTGATATTCTTCGCCTCTGCGTCGGCTCACAAACGTCACACCTGGTGTTCCAAATACCTGAAATGATAAAACAAAATTGACACAATACAAACATTTATAACATTTGAGTTTGAAGACTAATGCAATAATAATCGTTGCAATTGTGTTATAGACTCAATTAATAAAACTTACCTCAAAGTTTGATTCGTCGACCATTGTACATTTGAACAATCCTCCTCTGTGAAATGTTGGTGTCTCAGAGCCCAACCAAGACATTTTCTTTTGTTCTCTACTGTAAGCCACGGCTTCTTTCTGGGTTTGTAACCTTTTAAAACTGCTTCTATTAGCCTTCGTCTTGCAATCCGAGCGCTTATGCGTTTACCAGTCTCTTCAGATAAAGCTGCAGCAAGCTCCAAAGTATTTTTTTTACGGTCTTTGATACGCTCGCAGTTATGTTTCCTGTCCTGGTAGCTAGCAGTCACGCTATTTCTGCCTGTTTTTGTTTTATTCGCATCAGTACCGGTCCCAGCAAAACGTTTAATAGAAGATTGAACTGCGCATCGCGAATATTTTAACAACTTCGCAATTTCTTTCTGGGTCTCTCCTTGCTAATGTAAAAGTTTGACTTACACACGATTTTAAGACTAATTTCGTTTCTCTTTAGCATTTCTAAATAAATTTGTTCTCTATTTAATCAAAAAACTGCAAATGTTCTGTCTTTAAGCGAAGACTTCGAAATACAGACTGATCAGACATTAAACGTAAGTTTTGTAAAAAAATAATATTTCGTTATTGATGCACCAGATGTTATACAACCACTCAAATATTGCCGCCCAATATCTTAAATAGCGGTTTATGACACCGAGATCATCTTTCAAAAGAATATCAACTAATTGTTTAAATAGCACGTGTGCATGGGACCTTTATTGGGGGTGCCTAATACTTTTGGCCAAGGCTGTATTTAGCTTCGTAATAAAACTTGCGAATAAATTAAGTAAAACCCTTTTTTTGTTTTGACTCAAACTAATTTTCATTTGGAAATATCTGATTGTAGTAAAGAAGTATTAAAGTTGATTGTTCTACTTGATAATGCAAATTATGTTTGTGTTTCAAATGAAACCAGTATCTATTGCAAATAAATAAGCATATACAATCTCCACTTTATGAAATCGATGCGTCAAAATAAGTCTTATAGGAAATGTAATACGGTTCAAAACAATAAAAGAGAAAGAATGGAATTTGTTAAATTATTTATTACAATAATGAACACAGCTCAAAATTTCAGTTATCAGACCGTTGGGGTAGTTATTTTTAGGCATTTCTTTAGGAACAGGTTACAAGGGAGCGAAGGACCAAATTAGGACCACGTTGGATCAAAGGACCACGTTTAGCGGTTGAGCTGTGGTGTGGTTGAGACTTATTAGACGAAGTGAACGGCTTCAGCAGGGACAGCTTCAGAGTTGAAGCTGACACCAGTCGACCTCTCGATCCAGTCGATGTAGCTGCCGATGTCGGTGAAGGCTGGAAAAAGAACATTGAAGATAGAGTAAAAATAGTTTCTGAAGGGTATAGCAATATGACTTTTTACGGCATATTTAGCTTGCTTAATGTTCTTTAAGTGACAGAACATGGTTTAATACCTGGATATCTATCTAGGATATTAAAGGGAAAACTAACGAATATATGGATAAGTTATAATTTCATAATACCAACTTAGTAACACCAACTTTTCACTATTTATGTTATGAGTCCCATGTAATAGGGAGTGAGCCTATTGCCATAAACCGGGCACATATCCAGACACCGTGCTACTACTGAGGTTTTTACAAACCCAGTAATACTTTGCCCGACCCGGGAATCGAACCCGCGACCCCTTGCCCGGCAGTCGTACTTGCGACCATTCAACCAATGAAGCAGTCATATTAAACATATTAAATACTCGTATAAAAAATTCTAATACAATATAAGTGAACATGGCGGTTAAAAAACAATAATAGTGACGCTTTGCGTAGATTTTGTGACCTCAATTACATAAGGACCATAAGGTAGACCTAGATAAGTTTAGTACTTATTTAATGTAGGCTAGGTTCGACTATTCAAATTTTCCCGTGGTTTTAGAAAACGGGACAATGTGAGGTGAATGAAATTCACTCCCACGGTGAAACAACACATACATTGATTTACGCATATAACAAAATATGTAAATAAAGATACTTACAACCAGCAGATCCGGTGAGAAGAGCGACCTGAGCACCTTCGCTCACAACTGGAGCTCCAAGGTCGAACTGTAAAGGAAGGAACATAATATAACATCATATCTTTATATATTGAAGGTTAAGATGAAGATTTTCTTATGACTTCGGCCGGCAAACGATCAGACGGTAACCTGATGATAAGCAATCGGCGGCGGCGATGGAAACCCCAAACAACAGGCTCGTTACAAGTACGTTACCGGTCTTTTGAGTGTACAAATACTGGCGCATACACTACAGTCTATCAATATCGGACAAATATTTGAATCTATAAAAAAATTCTAAAGAGCAGATACTCTAATGCCTAAAACAAATTTGAAAGTGTATAACACAAAATACCTAGTTTCGTTGACCTACTGACCGTAATTTTAAGAATGTATCAACAGCTTGCTAATAATTTGGATATCAAAAAGGACATTTGAATAATTAATATTTCGTTATACAATCTTATTATCGAATGTTGAAATCATTAACTGATCTCTCTGGCTACGTAAAATGTTATTAAATGCATATATTTATACATATAACATTAGCTACTCCCGCGCGTTTTCACCTCTTTTGCTCGGCTCCTATTGATCTTAGTGTGATGTTTTATAGCTTATAGCCTTCCTCGATAAATGGACTATCCAACACAAGAAGAATTATTCAAATCGGACCTGTAGTTTCGAAGATTAGTGCGTTCAAACAAACTCTTCAGCCTTATAGAATAAGTATAAGATATAAGAAATATAAGGTTACCTAATCATTACACCCATATAGACTCTATAGTATTGCAATAAAGTTTTAAATCGAAAACACACTAATCCTGTACTCTACTCTACTTCAGAAATTCGATTTAGTATATCTATGTATGATAATAAGCTGCAAGCAACGAATCTGGAACTGTTCTGTATATTTTTGACCTATATTTTATTATTTGGACATATTTTTAGTAATCACTAATTCCTAGAAAAGAGATATTTCGTAAAGAAACAGATGCAATGAAGATAAAATATTAAAATGAAAGTCAAATGTCTTACGAAAATATGCCAAAAATGTTCCAACAAAGTTGTCAACTTACTTCAGAAACCTCGAAGTCGCCAGAAACGCTGAAACCATCCTCATCCTTAGAGATGGCGGCTTCGTAGCAGTTCAGCTGTTCACCAGGCTCTGGAACATATATTTTTAGTAATGAACAACGTAGGCTTAGATACTATTGACTGGGCATGTTCGAATATACTACTACTATAAACTACTATTTCATGATATGTTTAAAAAAAATCTCTACTAGAGTTTAGAAATAAAAAAGTGTATAGGTTAAACAGCTTTAAAAAAAACTTTTATAAATCATTGTTAGCCAAAATCTTTTCAAAAATCTTAATTAGTTACTCTGACACCAAATCGTGATGATGTTTCTTTAAAAATTACAATCGTCACAGCATACTCACTGCCATCACTAGCTCCGAAGGCGCAGAAGGATCCAGATTCGGCGTCAACTCCGGACAAGGAGACGGGAGAGATGTTGTCTATAAACAAACAGATTATATAGATTAAATTGAAATGATTACCTAACTGACAAATCCCTGCTACAATATTCTATGTATATACCAAAATCATGACGTTAGTATTACTCATTGTACTTTATTTCTAATTCAATTTTATTAAATAAATCATTTGACATAAGCATTTATTGACAGTTGACATATGTAATTTTTCTCATAATTTCCTGATTTATTATTTATGATTTATTTTATTTACACTTTTTGCACAATGGATATATAATGATGCAGACAATAGTAGATGTAAAAGTAAAAAAAATAATTTACTGTCATTAACATTAATATTATACCCAGCTATTGTAGGACACAGCTGAACTCAATCAAATTATGAGAACTGTATTATGTACCTACCTGTGATCTACAATGAATAAATTAATTTGAATTTGAAAAATAATCCGTAAGATATAATCCTTGTATAATCTCGTCCTCTAGATACTATATCTACATTTAGTAGGTAATTACAGTAATATGGTCCTTTGATACACAAACAGTTTAAGGGTCTACACATTGGAAAGGAAGTTTAAATTATTTCATTGAATAATCAAATAATCACCTTTAATTAAAATATACAGAAAAATTAACAACAATACAAAAAAACATGGCGACCCGATTAAAATATGATTTCCAAAAATGCCACCGTTAAATGAACAAGTCCGTCCTTACCCAAAACAATCGGAATAAAATCGCATCGTTAGCCGAATTTTCGGAAAAACCAACGTGGGCACTACATCGAAAACATAGCAGGGTTGCCCGGAAACGTTAATTAAAATGTAGCAACACAGGCCACGGAACGAACCGTGGGCGGCGCGGCGCGGGGCTCTCAACACGACTTTATTAATCGGCCGATTGCTTTCGGCAAACCGTTTTAATTGTCGAGCGAGACTTTGCCCTCCGGATTATCTTGATTGGAACGAAATTGTTTATTATAAATGGTTCATTTATTTTTTGAAGTCCTTGTTTTAATGTATTTTCTTTTTTTTAACCGACTTCACTTATTGTCTTTGTTTTAAGCTGAAATTATTTTTTTGGCTGAATGTGTTAATATTATAAATTGAACACTTTATCAAATAACTACCAAAATTGAATTTTAGTCGATAGATAACAAATCTAATTCTAATTAAAATTCGTCGAATAAATTCTTATCCGTAGCTACTTAATTTTATCATGCTTTATCCATATCCTACTATCAATGGAACCTTTTATCCATAGAAATGAAAGCTCATACAAGGTAAGATTGTCAACAATTTTTTGAGAGGAAATTAAAAATATTTCCCGAAAGGAAGACCAAGAACCGTTTCCAATTCCAATATGAGAAATCGAAATATTTGCCAACAAAACTGGGTCAGGTCCGGAACGGTCCACAAGTTTAAAACAAAATTGAATTCGAAAAAAGAATCCGACAGTTTTCCTACGAATTTGAATAGGTACCAAGTTCTGGAATTTTGCAAAAATATTATCCGCAGAAAGCAAGCAAACATTGGATTAGCGGAGGCATATTTTTCTTGGAGACAATTATTTATAAATTAAGAATTTTGTGAACATTCTTCGTTGTTAATTATAATTTTATGTTTGGTGACACGTGTTGGGATTTGGAATTCTGTTAACAACGAGACTAAATCAAGAAAACACAAAAAGTATGTAGGAGCGTTGTTCCTGAAAAATTTCTATGTACCTATTCGTCTCTAACTGACTAAAGGATCATACCGGACTTTTTTGATTGGTTTCTGATACAATTACCGACATATACATATTATCTACCAAGTATGAAAATTATTAGTGGTAAGTTTTCATCTTTTGCGTATAATAAACGGACAAAACCGCATATTTTGACTAAAGGTGTAGTTTGTGTAGTTTGCTGAGTAGAAACCTGGCTCTACCCGAGACAGTGCAGGGTATTCGATCTCATCTTAGCAAGACTTACATGATTTTGGTGGAAATGTTTACTTACGATAATATTTTTGGTGCGATCTTTATTTATAACGTAAAGAAAAAAGTTATGTGTGAATACTGACCAGTGCTGAGGACCTCTCTGTTGATGTTGATGAGGGCGACGTTGTTCTTGCCAGAGGCGGCATCGTACTCAGGGTGGATGACAGTCAGGGAGTTCTCAGTCACCAGGGAAGGCCTGATAACGTCGACGACGCCGTAGCGGACCCAGATGAAACGAGCACTGGAGAAAACACTTTATTAGTATCGCCTATTAACTAGGAGATTTGTCTTCGTCGTGACTACGATCTATGAGCTGTTCCAAAATCCATAGTAGGTACTCCATCATAACATTAGGTACATCATATTAAACGATTGTGTGTTGATTGTGAACATGATACAGTATAATACTAAAGCTTTTTTACGAATTACAGTAAGTAGTTCATCAGCCCAACAGATTTGGAAAGCAATGGCTTGACTGCATGGTCTCTGCAGTGATTGGATGACCGGCCAACTAATCCATAAATTATTGTGCCATTGTGATAATATGACTATAATCATGTCTACTACCATGTATGAAGCAATATAAATATCGCATCAGTGCACAAGATAAATTCAAGTTCAACTCCACGCTAGAATAATATGCAATTTTTTTTATCGTACGATGATTGTTTGTATGAATTATTTGAACTTGACTTACTCAGAGATGCAGCTGGCAGCGGTGAGCACCCATCTGTTTCCGATGAGGGATCCAGCGCAGGTGTTCAGGAGGCCACTGGTGGAGACGGCGATGCGGAGGTGCACAAACCAGGGATTATCACCCAGGGCGGCAGCGCTGCCGGACTCTGGAGACGACAGTTATGGTTATTAACGATTGCTAGGGGAAGTCAGATGTGTATAGTGTAGATGAAAAGAAAGAAAATACTCAAATTGAAAGCACAATTACTAGTAATTACATACAAGTTAGTTTGAATGAAAACTGTAATGGCCTGGAGGTTTAAGACGCTCGCTTCTCATGCATGACGGCGCGGTTTCGAAAACTACCAACGGCAAGTACCAATGTGACTTCTTTCGAGTTATAGGTACTTTCTAATAGTATTTAGACACCACTGACAAACGGTGAAGGAAAACATCGCGAGGTAACCTGGGCTTATAATTTCTAATTATAAGTTTGAAATCGCCAACCCGCTTTGAGCAAGCTTGGTGATTAATGCTCAAACCTGTTCCATATGAGAAGAGGCCTTTGGTAAGCAGTAGCCACTTATAAGCTGCTGATATGATGTTCTGTACTTTAGATAAACTAACTTGTATGTTATTACTAGAGTACTGGAGATGGAGAGTCGCGTGGATATGTGTCTCTCCAATTATATCCCACACGACTACAGAACTTTACTTTGTTTTTGTATCTAGATCTACTACTTAGTACCTTCTTATAATGTATTGTACCCATGTATTTTCATTATTTCTTTCAGTAGCTTTATTTTCCTTGAACTTATTATATTTTAGCAATATCCTTAACAAGGTATAATGGAGTAATGGTAAATTATTAAATACTTACTCTCGACGCCAGTGTGGCGACCCTAAAACAAAAAAACATAGGATAAGTATTTGAAATCAAAACAAAAGAATATTCTTATGGCACCTAAAACAAAGACTCAACTAAACAATACTGGAATGTTTTTAATTAGCTCTCTGATTTAGGTTTACCGGATTTAATTATATTTTTGTCTGTTTCGATATTATCTGCAGTGTTTTGTCCTCTGACTACTTTTTTAACCTACATAGGTTGAGTTGGTTGTAATTAAAACAGGAACTAGAACATGTCAGTTTACCTAATACCTACCTAATGAAAGTAATTACAATAATTATAACAAATACATAGGTTAACAAACAAATATTTAACAAAATTAACATCTTTCAATTTTCAATATAACAATTCATTTATCTGCTGGCATAAATATTGAGCAGTAAGTTATTGGAAAAATCGAGTATCAAAAACAAAAAGATAAACAATTAATCTAGGAATTAAATATAATTAATGAGATGTATTAACATTAAGATTAGGCTTAATTACAAATCTAATTAGATAAGAGGATATGTTGATAACACGCTTTACGTAGGTAGGTAGACGTAACTTAGGATTTTCCGTTATTGACAATTTTTAAAGAAATAGAAATTGATAAAGAACAATAGTTCTACAAAATTTTTGATAACCTGGTATTTTTGAGTAGATACTTCAGTAGGTACTTAGGTAATTTTAAGGAACACCTAAGCTAAGATAGGTGACATGTAATGACATTTTGTTTTTTATCATTCGATAAGTGACACCTAACAATACGTGTTAGTTTAGGTGCTACGTCACGCTAAGTACCTAACTTTTAGTTAAGAGATGGTTGGTGAAACCGGCCTTTAGGTATCCTTTGGGTACCTAACTTTAAAGTTTTCGTCTGGGTATAAGCCTAAGGACTTATTTAGTTAGGAATGTATTGTGTCCAACTGTCTATTGTTTTTTTTTCTAATTAGTTCCTAATCTGGTTATCAAACATTTAAGTAGGTATGTAGCCTTTGTGAATTTATCGATTAAAAAGATAAAATAGAATAGAAACGATTATCTACGTGCCTTTGTTTTCTAAAATAAAAACGAATGATTGTCATCAGTTACTTACCTATCTATTATAAATATTTCTATATTATCTATCATTCTATCTAGCGATACTAACTGAATACTTAATTTTGGGAAAACCAAATGTGTGACAAAATGTTTAGATAATTAGGTAGGTACTTATGAATAAATTGATACCAAATTGAACTCTCGAAAAGTTGCAAGAGCATCGAACATCGTTCAAAATGTCATTTCACATATTTCAAACTGTCAACAAAAACTTTCCTGGTTCATTACATTTAATCCTACAGACGGATGTACTTAAGTATTAAATAATAATACCTAATATCTATTTTGTTATCGAGATCACACCTATTTTAAACTGTTTTTATTATCCTAGTCAACCAATAAAGTTCTTATTCTTATTATTAAAAGCTTAGAAAACCTTGTCAGCACAAAATATAAATAAAAATTAAGATACAACATTAAACGTCGTAAAATTCATGAAAAAGATAAAATAATAAATCTATTGTTAATCTACCTACTAGGCTGTCTAAATTACAGGACACTACATTCAAATGCATTGTATAAAAAAATTACCTGCACGGCGACGAGCACGCACAACAAAACAAAAGCGAAACCCTTCATCTTCCAACGGTCAATTCACTGACTATAATGAATTAATTACCACCTACTTCATATACTAATTACACCCTCTTATCAAAGATAAAAGAAACGACGTTATATCATAATCTTTTGATACAAATATCGATTACTAATTGTATTCTACGGCCAGAGTCGTATTTCCCCTAAGGCGGGCAGCGCCTAGGGCGCCAGGTTACAGGTTTTTTTTTTTTTTTTTTTATACTTTATAGGTCGACGTTTGACCACCATCTCGCCTGATGGTAAGCGATGATGTGGCCGACGATGGAGCACGCCTACCTATGAGCAACCTGTTCACTCGGGACTTGAAGACACCCAAGTCATATTTGGCGGGAAACACAGCCTCTGGCAAAGAATTCCATTCCTTAGCGGTTCGCATGAGGAAGCTTGACGCGAAACGCTTCGTTCGAATGGGTGGAATGTCCACCATATAAGGGTGGCGTCCCGCCGTTCGCCTGGTGGTACGGCGGTGAAATGGACTAGGGGGAATAAGTTTGTGCAATTCCCACGCACACTCACCGAAATGTATCCGATAGAAGACCGAAAGGCTTGCGATTTTGCGCCTGTGTTCGAGGCTTTGTAGCCGAGCCTCCACAAGCGAATCGTTATTGATGAGCTTCTTGGCACGCCTCTCGATGGATTCGAGGGCTTCCAACTGGTATTTCGCCGAGCCATCCCAAAGATGGGAGCAGTACTCCATACAAGACCGAACTTGTGTTTGGTAAAGAGTGAGCAACTGCTCCGGCGTGAAGTACCGTCTCACCTTCGACAGGACACTCAACTTTCTACCAGCCAGTTGCGCCTTTGTCTCGATATACGAGCCAAAATTGAGAGTGGGCTTCAGAGTTACGCCGAGAAGCTCGAGACGGTCACCCATCGGAACGGACACACCCCGGAAAGTAGGAGTCAGTGGGAACCGACTCCGTTTAGCGGAAAACAGACACGCCTGGGTTTTGCTGGCATTGAACCTGACCAGATTGGCGTCACCCCAATCGGAGACCGCCTGCAAGGACAGGTTCAGACGATTTACCATAGATTCTCTCAGAGACTGGATTTGAGTTGCACTGGTTCGCGCATCGGACACATACCTCTCAACAACGGTGCTGTCATCTGCGTACCCAAAGATACCGGGCTGGAGCAGGTCATTAATGTGCAACAGAAAAAGTGTTGCTGAGAGTACTGACCCCTGAGGAACCCCGGCATTAATACCAAGTGGATTGGATGAGCAGCCGTCAATGACCACACGGATGGATCGATCCTTCAGGAAGTCTGTTATCCATCTGCACAAACCAGTGGGGAGTCCATATGCGGGAAGCTTGCCAACAAGACTATCGCGCCAGACCCTGTCGAAGGCCTTCGAGACATCGAGCGATACGGCTAACGCTTCCCCGTGTTTCTCGATGGCCTCGCTCCAGATGTGGGTGGCATATGCAAGAAGGTCCCCAGTAGATCGGTTTCGGCGAAATCCGTATTGCTGATCACTAAGGAGATCGTTACCTTCAAGGTATGCCAGGAGCCTGTTATTCAGTACACGTTCCATACTCTTACAGAGTATGGACGTGACCGAGATAGGTCTATAGTTATTAGGGTCGGCACGACTACCTTTTTTAGGCACAGGTTGCACGTTGGCCAGCTTCCATGCTTTCGGCACTTGACCAGTCTCCAAAGATAGGCGAAACAGACGTGTCAGGATTGGAGCTAACTCAGGTGCACAAGTTTTCAGTACTACGGCCGGGATTCCATCAGGACCACTGGCTTTGTTCACGTCCAGGTTGCGCAACGTTCTGCAGACCTCCTTCTGTCGAATGCGAATGTCCGACATGTTAGTCTCGCATACTTGGTGTATAGAAGGTGGTGAAGCGCCATCAGCATCAAGACGCGAAGACTCCGCAAAAAGAGAGGCGAATAAGTCCGCTTTCTCCATTGCGGTGTAAGCCAGCGTCCCATCAGACCGCAGTAGTGGTGGGAGTGAGGGGCGACAGAAGTTCGATTCCACCGACTTGGCCAGGGACCAAAAAGCCTTACTACCCGTTGGGTAAGAAGCAAGTTTGGCCCCTATTCGGCCGATGTGTTTGAACCGAGCTTCGCGCAGTGCCTTTTTATATGACTTGGCGGCCCGGTTGAAAGCTCTCTTCCTTTGAAGTATATCATCAGTCTTATGGGACCTGGCGTCCGCCCATGCCATATATGCAGCATGCTTTAATACCTCCGTTTGTCTGCAGTTGGCATCAAACCATGGGCGAAAGCCACCGACGGATGTCGCGTCCGAGAATGGAACGTAATATTCCATGCCCTGACGCAGCACCCCCGTTACGGCATCTGCACAAGCTGACGGATCATCGGAAGAGAAGCAAACAGGCCGCCATGGAAAGGATGCAAAAAAGGATCGCATTCCATCCCAATCTGCTGACTTGTATCGCCACATCCGTCGTGGTTCCCCAGGGCTAGAATCAGGTGGGGAGTGTGTAGATACAGATTTAACCAGACAGTGATCAGAGCTACCTAAAGGTGATGAGACTGATACCGAGTAGTGGTCTGGATTAGTTGTCAGCAGAAGGTCAAGGCAGTTGGCTGTATGCGTATCCACATCAGGCACCCTTGTGGCTTCCTGGACCAGCTGGGTAAGGTTAAACGTCAACGCAAGCTTTCGCAATTCCCTCCCAGCATGGTCGGTGCACTGGTATGGAAAAAGCCACTCCTGGTGATGGGCATTGAAGTCACCCAGTATCACCAGTTGGGCAGAAGGGTACCGAAGCTGAGCCGCATCCGCCGCCTCACTAAGATGTCGCACCAACCAGGTCGTCTCCAAGTCACCGCTGTGCGACCGGTAGACACAGGCATAAATAATCTTTTCCAGGCCTATGTCCACAAGTATCCAGACAATAGAGAAGTTGGGGTCCTCAAGATTTCGAAGACGCCGGTGACAGACGCCGTCGCGAACGTATAGGCATACACCAGCGCGTGGAACGAATTTATGTTCCAGGGAGTATCCCGGGTAGTCTAAATACGATACGTCGGACGGACATCTGATCTGGGTCTCCGAAAGAAACAGGAGTGTTGGGTTCTCAGTCTCAAGATGGTGGTGGACTGCGTTGAGATTGGAGTGCAGACCTCTGATGTTCGAGAAGTGCACTTTGAGGGAGAGGGAGTGCAGCCGCTGTGAGAACCTTTTCCGTTTATTTTTTGTCATTTAAGAGTGAAGAAAGGTTGCTGGGGGGATGGTAGTGAAATGGGCTTCTACACAGACAACCCACAGACGCGCACCGCAGTTAGCCCCATCATTAGGAGGCCAGCCCGGAGACCGCGGGGACGCCCGAGCCCCCCCACGGGTATCCATTGGGCCCTCTCCTCCGGTCGCCAACCGGCACGATGGCGTACCCGTGGGATTTTTCGACAGATGGCGGGGCAGCCTTTCACGTGTGGCTAGCACGTTACTTGGGCCCCCAACTATCCGCGGTCGGCCAGCGGTGAACCGTGCCTCGGATCCCGCTACCCTCCGTGACTGGCCACCAGATGCCGCTACACCAGCGCGCGTCAGAACTGTTAGTCTGCATTGGAACACCCACTTGGACCCATCCCCTCAATCGGCGTCACCGAGCATCGTGGCGGAACACGGCTAGGCCGCTTGGCGACACGTTTTTGCTCGGTGGGTGGTCATAAGGCCGTCGGCCGAAGCCTACCACCATGGGAGAGGTCCTGTCTTACAGCGGCGAGACGCGCATGCCCAACTGACCATAGAGTGAAGGCGGCGCCAAAAAAAATAGGGGCGCCTATAAGATGCTGGTGTGCTCGCATAGGGCGCTCTCTAGGTTTAATACGGCTCTGGCTACGGCTCTTCATAAATTTTAATCCACTGATAATGTTGCGTACTTATTTTTAAAGAAACCAAACGGATATTTGGATTAGATACTTTGACGTATAATAGGGTTTTTTATAAGCGATAATAATGTATCTAATTTGCTGAGAAATGAGGATGCCAATTGTTTTTGGATTTCACGTTTAAGTAGATTGCCTTTTTAATGGAAAGTACGTCTGCCATCTGATATTGTTATCGAAAAATCGTGTGCCACGATATCATTTACAGACCAAATTAATTAAAATTAAGCTTCGTCATCTGCATTACTTTATTGATTATGTAAAAACCAAGAACTTATACTTCCTACCTACAATTCTACCAAGCATTTCATATACTGTAACGCTTATTAAATTACCTACCAGGGCTAGAATAGAACTCGCTACCTACAAGGCAGAAAGCAAAATGTGATTAGAGATTAAATTGTTCTGGCTCATTAGCTAAATAATTATTTCAAGTAATTAATAACGCAGACACGGCACATTAGCAACGCGGATGATTAATCGTGAATCTACCCAGGGTGTTTACCTAGCATATCTAATAAACATAACTAGTACCTGATTATATTTGTTTTTAAGGTTTAATATGATAACTAGGATGGATTGATAGTCAGTACCGGATTTACCATAAGGCAATCGGGGCCCGTGCCCAGGGGGGCCCATCTTCAGTGGGCCCCGAAGGAACGACAATTTTTACGACACACACCCGCTACACGTTATGCGGCAACCGGCTGCCTTGCAACGTGAAGGGGTTTTTTTTCTTTTCTTTTTTAAGGGGAAAAATCATCGAATGACTGCTCCCGCCTGGGTGAGGCGAGAGGGAGTGTCAGACTCTTACTGACTAAAAACCACCCCGTTCCTTCTCCTGCACGTCGAGCCGGAGCCCCGGTTACCCAATAGGTTCTCCGCTACTACGAATCGGCATCGGCCCTGTTGGGCCCCATCTGTGGTGGTCTGATGGCTCTTTGAGGCGCGCGCGGAACGCGACGCGCCGTACGCCGGAGATCGTCCCGCGATCCCCGACGCCCGTGTGTCCTTCGCGATGGCTGGGTTGCGAGGAGGCAGCGCTTCGCTGCCTCACGCGTCCCACCTCCTTCTTAGCTAGCATAAACGTGTAGGGGGTACGATGCCCACACGAAGTAAATCACAGAAATATTACATCTATGGAGCAAATCTGTGTTCTGTGTGTGATCCGCAAATTGTTGTGTCGGGTCTCATGTGTATGTGAACTTGTGTTACGATACCTGCAGGAGACCTGCAGAAAAAAATCCTAGTGTGGTGCAACGGTAAAAAAGAAACATTGCAAAAGGGGCCCGAATTATTTGTTGTGTGCCAAGGGCCCCAGCGTAGTCTAAGACGGCCCTGCTGGTCTTGGCTGGCTCATCTTTGACTTTGCAAAATGAAAAAGAGTAACAAACACTGTTTGTAAGAAAATAATTAATTGCTTTAAATGACAGTGAAATATGTTTTTATAATAACTATCGTGAGACATAGTAAATTAAGTAAAATCGCGGGTTACTCACGTAAATATACTAAGAAAAAAAACTCTGCTGAGAGCAGCGCTCTCTATAAGTGTATACATTTCGATGGACAATTATTTAGTTTAAGTTTAAGTGTACTTAGATCTATCCTTCACAGTTCTTCATACAAAGTTATAACCTAACACGAAACAAATAACACATGTATGAAAAACATTAGGTAGGTATCCGCCTACGTCAGTATCTATTTATCAAAGACAATCCGCATTAATGAGAGATTACATTAATACTTACCTAATTTTTAAATCGTTTTACAGATTACGATTACTACCATAAGAAAGATACTTACTTTAAAAACATCAGCCTGTAACTGCTTTACGTTATAGGATAGATACCTAAAGTTGACATGGCATTGCATGATTGGCGCACAGGTTCCTCTGATCAATAAGTTCATCGAATAAAAAGGCAGTTATGCGCTCGAAATAAATTTTCTTCTAGGTCCGGGGATTGTTTTTTTTAAGGGGGAACACCATCAAATTACTTCTCCCGCCTAGGTGAGGCGGGAGGAAATGTCAGACTCTTACTGACTAAAAACCGCGCTTTGCCTCCTCCATAGCTAGCATGACTGCTCTGCAAAAGGAGGGGACGGCATCCCAGTCCCCCTCACTCCGCATCATGGCCTGCACTAGGCCCGGACGCGAGAGGTCGCAGTCTCCGATCACATCTCTGAGGGCACGGCGGTGCTCAGCCCACGCAGGGCATTTCCCTACTGTATGTTCCACCGTGTCCTCAGGGCGGTCCTCGCAGTTAGGTCCGAGTGTAACGTGTAACTAATCGTGTGTAACATTATGTAAACTGAATTATGTGAATGTTTAGTTACAATAAAGTTTTTTTAACTCACCGAACACGACACGAGTACATCCTAATGTGGACCAGACTGACAGATTTCTTGTGAAGGATAATTAAGTAATATGAAATTTTACTAAACCTAGACAGCCTGTAAGCCTACAGAATCATGTCAATTTGGTAACGAACGTGTAATCTCTATTACAATAGATTTTCACCAATATATGAAAACTTGCTAGATGCGGTAACAGTGAGCGGTATCTTACTTCTGAGAAACATTGAAGAACATGCTACATCGAAGTGGTTTTGCGCTCATTTCCGCCGTTTAGTTATTAATATTATGAATGTCTTGTAATGTGTATATTAATATAATAGGTATTTCGTTATCTGCCCTAATTCCAGGATTTTCTCCTTTGAATCACGGAGTATACAGTATACAGTCAACGGTATGAAATAAAACCATTTATTTGTTAAACTTATTAAATTATTTATATAATTTACGGAAGAATACATTTGATGTATAAATATTATTTGTCCTTAGGGCTTTCTGCCGTTACTGTATCGTCTTTCTTCTGCGACCAGCTTCGAGAACGTCGCGACTCAGTCTGGTTGGGTGAGATGACCTTCCTGGTTACAGATCGGTCGTGTGGGTCGTGTCGACTGGTAGACTTGGAGCGAGAGCGCCGAGACCGGGAGCGGGATCGACGGTGAGATCGCGACCGAGACCGCGATCGTGAGTGGTAGGATCTGGAAGAATGATTTCAAATTTGAGGACCCATTGTTTTTTTTAAGTTCAATGTTACTAACAAGAATATGGACATGGTCTGAAACAAATGATTATTATTATTGTTCCATGTAAGAGGTAGAGAATCTAAGCTATGATTTCACTGAATAGTGAACTATGGGAAAGTCAAAAAGTAATACACGTAACAACAGATAATTTGCATGAACAGTCAAGAATCATCATCATCGAACATCGAAAACATCTTTTAATTCCCTATCAATCTGTTTCTTATTAATGAAGGGGAAGAATTCTCCGCGGACTCTTGGACCATGCCCTTGTCATACAATTTTTATGAAAGAGATCTTAGATACTTTATACGTATGATAATTGATCAAAACTTATTGAAAACTCATCTCTTGCAAAAGTTTTTTTTTGCATACCTAGATCTTCTACTCCTAGACCTGGACCGTCGACTTCTGCTCCTAGACCTGCGACTGCGAGATCGCGAGCGCGTATACGACCGCCGCCGCGACCGCGAGTGTGACCGCGAGTGCGAGCGCGAGTGCGAGCGGCGCCGCGACCGCGACCGCGAGTCCCGCGAGCGACCGCGCGTCCTGTCCTCGTGTTCGCTGTGAGGGTTACCCTCAGTTAACTTCTTGAAGTATCTGCAAAAAGGATGATGAAATTATTTTCCGTACACGTCATTTTGGCTTGTAGCTGTTACGACCATGGATAAGTACATATTAGTTGAAAACCCCCTAATGGCCCCCTATGGAAAGCCATTTAGATGTCATTTTAACCCATTACTTTTGCGATGAAGGAGTCATTATGTGTTGGACCAAAAACTCTTTTGCGTCACCCCATTGATGACGTTTAATATTATAAATTTTTTTTCAATATTTTTTTCTTTATCTTCCGTTTTTTGACACGTAATAACAGCTTATCTAAAAATCATTGAAATTATTAATATTACCATGAACTCTCAAACATTATGTAGTTGAGCTTGAAACTAAGATATATTCCAACTCAAGCCAGGGCTCAAGACTCAAATAATGACTAAAAGCTGAACTAGAAACTGTAATTTTTAGATAGAGACTAACCTGTAATACTGATGATTGGCGTCTGGTCCATCGAAGTACGGCATCCGTGGGTTCCTCCCCCGGCCGCGGCCGCGTCCCCGCGGGCGGCGGTATTCCCCCTGCGGCGGGTAGTACGACCCGCGCATGGGGTAATACATCGACGCTGTAGAGAAACTCACTTAGTATACTCGTATGTAGCAAAAAAAACGAAAGATTACAGTTTTTTGCTACAAATAGCGTTATTTAAAAAAACAGTAGTCCTAATTAGGATGGAAAATATTATGAGATTTTTGTCATGAGATTTCACTGTGAACAAACATTATTAATGCAAAACAGAAAGTAATGAAAAGAAAGTTTATAGACTACCACTTTAACAACCTGTGTTACCAACGTTGTTTAAGTTACTGTTAGTTTAACTGTTTTTGGTTAATTTCAGGGGGCCTACCGCATTTTTGCTTACCAGAAGCCGTTAATGTGAACCTCTCTTTCTTCGTCCAATAGGGAATTAGATAGTGTCACGCCATTGGGTGTTCAATATTTGACAACTGCTGTGGTTGGACAAAAAATGTGTTCCTACATTTGCTCAACTTGGTAACAAAAATACTGTAGCCCTCATTGCAAGATGCGACAAAAGACACGCTAGTTAAACTAACCGAAACTTAAACAAAGATAGTAAACATCCTTTTAATACAGCACACAACTTATTCATAACACCCATTTTTTTTTAAGGGGGGAAAATCATCGAATGACTGCTCCCGCCTGGGTGAGGCGGGAGGGAGTGTCAGACTCTTACTGACTAAAAAGCACCCCGTTCCTTCTCCTGCACGTCGAGTCGGAGCCCCGGTAACCCGTTAGGTTCTCCGCGACTCATAACACCCATAACACTCACTCACTCATTTTAAATCTATTATTTTTTTTTTTTGTCATAAATAAAATATCTATAACAGGTTGCATGCTCTTTTTGCTTCTAGTTTTTACTTTTGGTCTACTAGTCTTACGTAGGCTTTTGTTTTGCTTAAGTTAAAAATACGGTCGAACACTGACTTCCAACATACAGGTCGGCCTAGTTTGGAAATCAGGGTTTAATAATTAATTTGCACTACCACTTCTGTACCTTAGTTTTACACAAAGTAATGTACAAATCTATTGGTGTTCAATAAAGAATTTATTATTTATTATTATTATTATTTTCACTATCACATCAGCTAATTAGAATACACGTTCAAGGAATCAAGGAACAAAAATATTTATCATCAGAGACAGTTGAATGGAAGTAAGACCCTAATATACTTGAAACATAAAAGATACTCATACTTTGCGGCGGGTAGGCGTAGCTGGGCGGACAGGGGAACGGGTAGCCGAAACCATACGGCTGCATACTGTACAAACTCGCAGCTGGAACGAATAAATAAAAAATACAGTTGTAACATAATCTTCTTTAAATGCTAACGCTTTAAACATTGCACCCACTAGAATTTTATTCTTTTGTAAATTAATGTTTTAACATGACATAAGTAACGAAATGAAGTCTGCAAAAATAAACAAATTACGTCATCAGCACCCATAGATACTTGCACACAGTTGTAAGTTATGATCTTCTTTTTTCTTTTAAATAAACGTTACCCCACACTAGAATTTTCTCCTGTGTCGTGGGTGCGTTTACAAACATACAAGTTCACATACACATCACACCTAAACCCGGAACAACAATCTGTGGATCACACAAACAGTTGCTCCGTGCGGGAATCGAACCCGCGACACGTTGCACGGCAGCCGGGTACCCAGCCACCGCACCAACCGTGTTGCCATTCATAATCAGAAGAATTACTAGTGTATTACCGAAATTACAACTTAATTGTTATGTTTTTCGACGTAACTGTTTGTCGAGGAACGTATAACTGGCGAGAAATGGCTCACCCCCTATTATTATATGGGATTATATGGGATTTATACTATTATATGGGACTCATAACATTAATAGTGAAAAGTGGGTGTTACATTGTACAGTGGCATTAAGTGCCGAAACGTGCACCTCTGCCTACCCCTTCGGAGATAAAAAGGCGTGATGTTATGTTATTTCATGATGAAAGTTACACATGGCCCACAACACCTCTTTCAACAATTAACTAGACATATCTGTCTATCCTTTCATGGACTACTATTAATTAAGTAGAATTCTCACCCGTAGCCTTATTATACTCCATCTCTCGCTCCGGTGTCGTCAGTCTTTCTGTTTTAATTTTCTTATGGTTATCCCTATCACAGCGTCTGGCACGCTCGTCTGATGATACAGAGCTCATTGAAGAGTCACGTTTAGGCTTCTTTGTTTCAAGCACTGATCGAATTACTATGCGACCTGGAAAGATACAAATCAGTTTTAAATTCTGGATAAGGGCATAAGATACAGTAATTTTCAAATAATTTGATAGCCGAATAATCGTTTTATTAAAGTATGAATCAGAATCTGAATCTGAAACCATGAAAATTCATCTTTAATAAAAACCATTTCGTTAAATCAACAAAGTCTATTTATTTCCTTTTTAGTGGGGGCTTTTGTTCAACAATGCACATCATCCAACCAACTAATAAATAATAATAATAAAATATTGGTACCAATTAAAATTTATATAAAAACAAGTACACTGACCATTCAAAGCATTACTGTAGTTCTGCCTCTGTTCCTCCAGCAGGTCTTGTTGTTGTCGCTTGATCTTGTCAATGATACGCGCGCGCGCATTCCTCTCGCCCGGCAAGTAGTGCTGCTCACGGTTACCATTGCGCTGAAGCTCTGGTCGCAACTGGGGATTGAAAAGATTAATTTATTTGTAATCAAATAAACTCAATAATTACATATAACATAACATAAGATGACGCCTTTTATCCCCGAAGGGGTAGGCAGAGATGCACATTATCTATGGTACTTAATGCCACTGTATAATGTAAAACCCACTTTTTATTATTTGAGTCTGGAATTGTACCCGATCGGTATATTACAATAGGCTCACTCCCTATTACGGGACTCATAATTGGATATAAGCTGCTAAAATGTACGTTCAAAATATTATATTTTTATTAATATAATTATGTTTCGATCTCTAAAAATAGGGGGTCAGCAGTGAGGAAGGACCATCACATTTAGTTGAGGTTTGTCATAAGAAGAAAAATGGCAATAAATTGTTTCAATAAAGGATGGTATGGCAGTGTTTGCTTCATCCTCGTCTAGGAGGGGTATACCAGTGCAATCTGTTATTCTTATTACAGGCATACTTTTAGCTGTCACATAGGACCATTGAAACTATACTAGTGTGACATAGTTCTAACTGTAGGGACTAACCTCAATCCTCTTAAACACTTCTTCAATGAGCCGAATGGCCTGCAACTTCTTCTGGGCTTTAACAAGTTTCCTCTGCTCCTCAGCAACTTTACTGTTGAGGTCAAGGTTATCACTCTGCATTAGTTTAGCCAACTGTTTCTTCTTGCGTCTCTCTTCTCTTTCTCTCATTTTTTCTAGCTTTTCTCTCTCTGAACGCTCATACTTTTGCCTGAAAATTAATTTGTAATTTGTAAATTAACTCGTCAAGTACCGTCTTTGTAGACACAATTATAGAATAGGTTGCGGTCACCGGTGACCGCTGAGTGTTTGACAGTTTAAATTAAGGCAAAATTTTTACAATTGTGTTAATATATTTATAACCCTATGTGGCAGTTAATGTGATAATTTTAGTAAAATTTACCTTTCTTTCACCTCTTTTCTGGCTATTCTTTCTTTCTCTGCCCTTTCTTCATCATCTTTAACTTTCTGACGTGAAGCCAGCCTCTCACGGACTATAGATCTCCGATTGACAGCTGCATCAGTCATATGTTTAGTTTTATCAAATTCCACTTTAATGCCACACCACTCTGCAATGTCATCTCTCTTCCGTAGAAGTTTTCGACCTCTTAATGCATCCATGCAGCGAACAAAGCCAACATATTCACTGAACTGTACATAGATCTCAAAATACAGAGCAGCCTCCTGTGGAGGAGTCGTTATGCCCCTCATAGTTGCCTTCATCTGCATCCGGTATGGATCAGACACTGGAATGTCCACTTGTCGCACTGAACCAAACTTTTCAAATATTTTCTTCACTAAACTCTCTGAAGGCAGAGCATCCTCGTCTTGGTCTCTACTATGTATAAACCATCTGATGGGCAGGTTGGATATATGGATGGTGTCTGGACGCTCTCCAGGCTTCATCTCATCCATTTCTGTAGTATCACGAAAGAACGAATCCCAATCATGACGACTAGGAAACTCAGACTTGGCTTCACAGACCTTGACTTTTAGCTGGTCAGGGTACTCCTTTAACTGAATCACGCGGTCCTCGAGCCTCGCCAACACTCTCTCGAGATTATCACGATTCTCTAGTTCCGCATCAAATCTTATCACTTCCGAACTATGCTTTGACACTTTTAACACGGAAAAATTATCAGGGAGGATCATCTTTCGCAACTTCTCCATAAGTTCCCAATTTGATATTGACTTGCCGTGTACCTTGTGGGAGGGGAGCTGGACAGAAATATTAATCTTTGCAAAGGATTTAAGATACAAACGCTGCGGCAAATACAGAGCCGTAGCGTCTGAGGAATCTCTGCAGACTTGTATGTTCATTGTTACAACTTAAATCGACCTAAACCTAACCTAATAAAATGGACATCAACAATGAAAATAAATAAAATTAATTACAATGAAATGATGAAAAGATAGTCTCCAGTTTATAAATCTACGTAAATACATCAAAAATCGTTTAATTGAACAACTTATAACTATTAGATCTAATACAATGAGAAATGACCAAAATTAAGTCCAGCATAAGCCTCCATCGCAATTTCTTCAAAGGGCACACAGTCAGAATTTTCACAATCGTGTTTTCTAAACCGAAACTTCAATTATTTTCACTTTTACAAGCATTTTCCCATATTTCCTCCATTTTGCTTGTTGCTTGACTTCATTGACTTGACAGTTGTTTTTTTCGAATTAAGGTTGCCAACCTGCCACATTGTCGTTGACATTTTTACCTCAACATTAATTTCTATGAAGCAATAATGAAACATACACGAAAATTATTTTGTTTATTTACAATTATCATTTCATTACTATTTTCCTTTTTCGAAAATAACTCGTAAAAAAAACTAATTTCACATAGGTAACGTCACGACCATCACGACTTCGTTCGTCACGAGGATAGGCAGTCAGTCAAAAGATTGACGTGCCAAGCAAGAATCAATTATTTAGAGTTTCGACAAGGTTTCTAATTAAAAGTAAGTGAAAAAAATATATAGGCATTTGTGTATATGGTTCTAAATACTAAACAGTAACGTAATCTAGCCGCCTGGTACATGCAAATACTGCGAGGACAATACTATATTATAGGCTCCGCGGTATTTTTCGAATATCGGAATATATTTTCCGATTACACTTGTATAAAATCTGCTCTAAGAAATAGAATTCAGGGCTTTACTAGAGCAACCAATTTATCTGTCACATATAAACCCGAAGACATCACAGAATCAAATCAAGTCTTTCACTAGCAACCGAAATAGGGAGTCGGAATCAATGTAGAAATTCATTACATAACTCACGCCTTTTATCCGAAGGGGTAGGCAGAAGTGCACATTATTCCACTGTACAACGTAACTCCCATATTTTACTATTTATTTATGTTATGATGAGTCCCATGTAATAGGGGGTGAGCCTATTGCCAAATACCGGACACAATTCCAGACTCCGTGGTCCGTACTACTACTGAGAATTTTTTTTCAAACCCAGTAATTCTTTGCCCGACCCGGGAATCGGACCCGAGACCCCTTGTCTGGCAGTCGCTCTTGCGACCACAAGGCCGACGAGGCAGTCAATAGAAATTCGAGTACAAATTTGTTGGAAGGTCTCCTTTGAACCACCAAATCAAACACAGAAGTTCATTATAAAGTATCTTTTATTTTTTTTATTACAGGATCACCACAAACGCTGTACAGCGAGCTACAGTGGTCCGAGTACAACTGATACATCATTAGACCACGCCTTACTTACAGCTATTCATAAATAATTTAGCATAAATTTACACAGCTCTGCGTTTACATTATACTAGGTATTTAAAAAGGTACTACTCTAGCATCCTTCACAACTACCAAGGCCTAAGTGTTATCCCCTCTACTGTTCACACGAAACTTGATATACGAGCATTCTTTATAAAAATACAATACAAATTGATTTAAAAACCCACAATTTATTAACATGAAAAATTGTATAGTAATGAAATGCAATCACTTATGAAAACAATGAGATGCAATCTCACTATTTGAATGTCCTCTGTCAATTTGAATTATGTATCTACTTAAATAACTATAAATTGGAAGCATTATAAGTCTTATAGTTATTATTACTATACCATTGATATAATACAATGTATGTGGTTATAAATTGTAAATGCATAACAAAACCGTATGCACAATATCAAGTCTCATGAAAACCAATCTATTACCATTGCACCGAAATAATACAAGTATGTTATTTTACTATGATTATGGAAGTTAAAACATTTCACAATAGCAATGTGCATAGATGTATGGGATTTCATTAGCTTCAACTTGTAAAATATACCTATCAGTTCTTTTTGTAGGACACTTGGATTAAAACGAAAACATAGACTACAGTAGAAACTATTACGATAATATTTCAGTTTTACTGGAAACTTTTATTTTCATATAATTTCTCTAAATTAATTTCAACTTAATATAAAGAAAAATATATCTCTGTTTTATTGCGATCATATCGCTGTGGTGTGTATACAATAAATAAAAGAATAACAGAAGATTAAAAGAAGAATAATATAAGAAATAGCTTAGATGAAATCCCATCATATTACTCGACAATTTGGGTCTTATTGTATTGCACGAAAAACATTCGTTTTGACTTTAATCAATTGCAGCATTCATATAAATTAATTAAAAATGTCATTGTAAGTATAATCATAATTATCTAAATCGGAGTCGCGAGCGTGGCCCCGGTCTGTGCCTTTTAGTCAGTAAGAGTCTGACACTTCCTCCCGTCCCGCCCAGCGCGGGAGAAGTCATTTGATCATTTCCATACTTACAAAAAAGTAGTTATATAAAATGCGCAATTAAAATTAGAACAATACAGAACATGTTTTCGCATCTCAAACCCATGTAGGTAGGATCGACACATTTCCTATTGGAAAGCTAGGATTACAATAATGAAGTAATGTTACATTCACTGGAATAGCCAGGAACCCCACTCTACCCACAGAACTGAATACAATGGATTACAAGTGATTGACAAAAGGAACTCATATTTCTTAACCAAATCCAGGCCAATTAGACATACACTATATACTGCCTACCTTAATATAATAGTAATAATATTATTATTGCGTGCCTTTATGGGGATTTAATACTTAATTAATACATATATATCCACCTGTTGACATCATTCTGTAGAACATGAGCTTCCCTTTATGACTTGTTGCTATAATTACATGTTCTAAGGAGATCCACATGTCCCACAGCGAGTTATTATTACAAAACAATAAATGTGGCTGGATTTGGTGAAACATTTACAAAGCCCTTTCATCATTAAGCTACTTAAAATATAAATGATTAAGATTTGTGCATCCAACAGGGCAACTTACTTTTGTTCCTGGCGGGTTAAATATTGCCATTTTCTTAAAGAAAATTCGACGCATGGTCGAAACTAGCTAGGAATTTCCTCTAATATACATATTTGCCACCCTTCATTATCTTACATACTTGTCATGCCTTTCTTAACTCTATAATTACTTGGCATCTCACATTATTACTGATATAAAATGTGACAAATTTTGTGAAGTTAACATTTTACTTGTGATGATAATTTAAAAAGCTTCTGAATATGTAATTTAAGCAATACTTTATATGATTCAAATAACCCTTACTTTTTCAGTGTTACACTAAAATTTTAAGTATTATTTATGCATAATATATTAATGTATTGCTAAAACAACATTTACTGCATAAATGCAGGGAAGTATTTACATTTCGTATACATAAAATCAACATACAAATTAACTTAAAACTCATACCAAAACACTCTTCACAAAACTCAACTAAACTAAAACTAAACATTCACAACATGTCTATAGCTTTTGTTTTTTAGGAAATTATTAAAAAATAAAATTCTCAGTCTTCTCTATTGAATAGTACAAATAGATTGCTATAAATTAGATCTTTCGATTTACAAATATAGTATGATACAGTTTGTACAAGCTAGGGAAAAATTGACAAGTCCCATGCGCATATAACGTCTTTTGATACTTGAACAGTCTAAATTGCAGACACAGTCACTGGCTAAGACCCTAAGTCAGCTTGCAGCCAACTTTACAATCCTGTTTATTGTCACTCTGTACAATGTTCTAAACTGTCGCACTACACTGCTCATACAATGTTCCACGCTAATCTCACGTCTTGTATCACACACTCACTTTATCACTGCATTTAGTAATTGAGGTAGTTAGCATCAATACTGGCTAACTGTTTCATTGTTTTCATTTTACATATTTAATTAAGTATACTTCTAACTCGAGCACAGATTCAGGTTCCTCTGGTCCCTTGGTACAAATATGTATATGCTTTTACCATACTGAAACTGTTGTCAAAATGTTTATGAATTGTTTTGATAATAAATAGAATTGGTTCTCAGAGAGATTAAAACTTTGAATTGTTCTCGGGATATGTTGCACAATTGTATAATGGACTCCTCGCTTCCGCAGGAGGTGGGCGTCGGCGGCACTAGATTTGTGGGTGTTACTGCCTACTGGGCTTGCATGAGGTCGAGCATTCTCGCTCTCTGCTTGACCCAGTCGGGCACTAGGTCGGGCGCGAGCTTACGCAGCATTCGCGGCGCGGGCGGCGCGGCGGGCGGTACGGCGGGCGGTGCGGCGGGCGGTGCGGCGGGCGGGGGTGACGGCGGTCAGTTGGCGCGCGCGCGCTTGGGCTTGGCGGGCGGCGGCGGCGCGTGCGCGGGCCGGGGCTGCGACAGCGGCGCCTCGTCGGCCGCCAGCCCCGACCGCAGCATGTACTTGAACTGCAGCATGTGTTGCATGACGTCACGGATCTGTACGAGCGCCTGCCCGTTCTCACCCGCCGCTGCAGTCTTGCACTTGCCCGAGTTGCGGAGGACTTGCACCTGAGTCCTGTAATACACATTATGATGTTTTAGGTCACTCCAATTTACAGTATTTTTAGATTGAAAGATCCTAGACAGCCAAATAATGCAAGTTTAAACAATGTTTGTCTCCATAAAAAATACGATTGGTAGGTGACTATCTAGACGAAGTCTTACTTGGGCTTAATCGTTTACAAAGCTTACATAATTTACCAATAAGTACATAAAGTTAGAAGAGCTAATTAAAAAGAAACTTACGAGTTAGGTCTGTAGAGGGTAATCCCAAGCGCGTCGAGCATAGCGCGGCACGTGCTGAGAGAGACTCGTGGGAAGAAGTGGCTGGCCAAGTCTGGCAGGGTCATAAGCAGCTCCGTGTACTGGTAGGGTTTCGCGTTGATGCAGGGTACCATAGTATTCTCCACCAACGCTTTCTGAACCTGAGAATAACAAAATACAACATAAATAAATATGGTAACTTTCTGTCTGGCCATTAACCAAGTACGATGATCAGCACTGACTCTTAACTAGATTAACTACTTAGACGCAGGATTAAATTAAATGGATAGAGTACAGTAGCCAAACCTACCCAAACTGCAGAAATATTTTAACATTCACTTAAAGTACTCTAATAAAACTGGGTTGCTTTAACAGTTTAATATTTAATAACTTGTATGGCGGTATGGCGGTCCTTACCTTATACGGCGTATGGTTGCCAGTTATATTGATGTCGGGTATTGGAGTAAGCCTTTTGCGATTGTCCACGGAGTGAGAGGTTGAGTGGCCATTCATTGTTCCAGTCACTTGTGGGGGTACACTGTAATTTAGGTACTATATTAGCAACGTTATTCTTTACCTGGGGTACACCCCATTACTGACTGCAATGATTTAAGGACTTGCTTAAGTTTAACACATGTGTATCATGCTGAGTTAGTTGTATGTAGTCAAACTAGATTTTTTATAAGGTTATACTTGCCCTTAAAGTTTAATATATAGAGGTCATGCTATAATTATTTATAGTTTTATATCAATATTTTAAGTGTTAACTTGAGACATTCACACTCGCACGACATGATTGTGTGATGAATTTGCGACCAATATAATGAAGTTTGTATTTATTTTGTATATATTTTAGCAATTCTAAAAAGTACTTCAATATGAATATAAAATATATATTGTTTATCAATGAATAAACCTAATCGCGATATCGTCGATAAGGGTTACAACAGATTCAGAGAACATAGCACCTTAAATTGAGGCAAAGCAGATTTTTTTGTTATGTTCTTTTATTTAGTTTTCAATTTCGTTTTTGGTTTAGTTCTTATATTTGGTCTCCTTTAAAATCCTTTCGAGAGAAAAGGCATGAAATGCTATGTTTCATAATTTCTTTTCCAAAACCTTAAAATTGAAAAGTAATCATGTTTGAGTCTATTTTAGTTACTCTTACTACTGTTATTATTAAAAAATAGTAACACCTTTCATCATTGCAGCCATAATCTGCCAAAATACCGTGTGTTTGTGGCGACGAATAAATCTTAATAGAACGAGTTACTTCCTACATTACAGCACAGGAAGATAGCTGACATCAAATTAATGTGTAGGCGTTTTGATATTATTATTATTTCTAGTTGTGTTCATAATGTACAGTGCTCAAAATAATGCTACACGAGGAGATTCTTAATTTTTTTTGGAGTTAGTATTTCAGTTGCTTTGAGCATTAAAACGCGTAGTGGTTTGGACTCATTTTAATTATAATACCACAAAAAAACATAAATCTTGTTTTCTTTGATTTTTGCTGCTAAAAATACTTTCCAAAAAAAACCTAGTCGAATATATTAAAAGGTTTAGGTATTGTATCAATACTGTTGGTGTATAACCGTTTTTAAAACATTACAAGGAACATTGAAAAATATTTGGCGATTTGAAATAGACAGTTTTTCCTAACGACAATCAAACGGGGTTCTGTCCTATAATGAAATTCGGACAGATAAAAAAAAACACCCGGTATATTGAGCAGATTTGTTATGATAACTCTTAAAATAATTTAATAATAATGAAAAAAAGCGTATACAATAAATATTAATAATGGTTTTTGAAGGACAGTGTCAAGACAATGGCGAATGGAATATACACACTTGTAAGAACAGCCCTTTTTGCTAGGAAAACAAAATGTTATTCAGATAATCCTCTTTTGAATAGAATATTGCTATCCTTTACAAACAAAAAGTTAAAAATAAATATAATCAAAATATTAAAATTATTTCACAATAAATATCCAAAAAAAAATAATACTGTTCTATATTAGGGTAAAAAGATAATTATTTTGTTACAGCAAATAAGTTAAAACCTTTTCGAACTCAATTGTCAGCTGACAATATTTTCTATTTCTTATTTTTGTATGACTTAGGAGAAGGATAGCAATACCTTTATTTTACAACATTTGCCTGCATTTTGTATATCCCCTTTAAAAAATTCTCAAGTAATAGCAAAAGAAGAACTTGACCTCAAAAAAAATTCGTTTACTGTAGGGTGATGTGTGTTTACCAGTCAAATGGAACAAGCGATGAATTATGACTGAAAACACAGGATGAAGACAGAAAACGAATTTTTTTGACTTTCTTCAGAAAACCAAAATAATCAACTATACTTTTAAGTTATAAACTATAAGATTTCTAGGAGAATACAGAATATAAGGCTTGCAGGTGAAAATGGAACATAATCTTGACTATCTTTACGTACTTATACAAAACCCGGGCTGTTCTTACAAAATCCACTACAAATGATGAAAAGTTCCTCACTTCATGGTTGATGTGTTTGCCGAGCTCCTCACGAGAGGTGGAGGGGGTTGCTGACCCATCGCCATTGTAATTGCACTGTTCGGAAACTGAAATAAACGATAAAAACAAACATTTTCACGCGGCACTAGAACAAAATGGCGAGTGCCAGGAAAATTATTGTGGAAGACTAATAATAATAAACTAAATATATATGTGAGATATTTATTGTAGCTAATTTACCGGATTTTCGTCAAAAGTCTCTTATTAATTGGTTTTTGTGTAATAATATGGTAGACGCGTATGATGGTACCTGTACGTTACGCTGGTGCTGCGAGCGATGCTGCGGCAGGCCGGCGGCGGTGGCGGCCGCGATGGCCGCGTTGTTGTAGCGCGCCGCCACGTGCGCCTGCGCCACTTGCGCCTGTACAACCATACATTGTTATACTACACTGCTATTAGATACTACTCTTATAACTATAAACCTAAACATTTTATATGATTCATTCACACATTGTCCGACATTGAATTAAACAAAAATTGAAACTTCAATACCTAAGTATACGTTTCTGTCAGAGTTTTGTCGACTTGAGATTTTGAATTATTTTGTATGGATCTTATAAATAAAATCTATATTATATTTACTAGCCAACAGATTATTTAACTTAGCGCTTCTATTATGGGGAAGGTAACAAAGCCATCAGTTCTTGTGTCTTAGAACCCGTTTGTATTGAAGCCACAAAAACGGTATTAAACTTAAGTTAACCAATAAATATTTCCTAATAGCTACCTATTTAATGGGCCAATGAATCATTTCGTGGAAATTATGAATAAACAATGCCTGACGTCACAATTAGGGCCGTTTCCATCAGTTACTGGATAACAATGAGTATCCTTTTATGTTTGAGCGATTGTTTCAAATATCCAATGACAGAACGGGCTAAGAATGCAAAAATCTCAGGAACTATGAAAAAAACTGCAGCAGTCAGAACTGACGAAACTCAATCATAGAAAGTACGTACATAGAATTTTAGGCGCCCGGTTGGTCGAGTCGAGTGGTCATAAGCGTTGACGCTAAAAAGAGGGGATTGGGTTATCCTAACCGAAGATCCTCGGATCGGGATGATTCTCGGGTCAGCATTAGGCTCGCCCCATAATTGGCAGTGAAAGCGGTGTTACATTTAAACGTTCACCTCAATCAACCACTTTGGAGGCTATGCACAATAAAAAATGTTATATCAATACAGGTTCCACCAACAGCATCGTGTTAGTACCTGTGCGAGTCTCAGCACTTGCTGAGTCTGGGCTTGCGTCAACGCTGCAGGCAGACTCCAACCATTCGCCAGCGCTTGTACTGTAGCTGCTGACAGTCCACCGTGGGGCATCTGCATGGCTGCAGAAGCTTGGGAATGCCTCTGCGTGTTCGCCCGCCTGCCCCGCGTGGATTGGCTGTTCACATTGTTGAGGCCCACGCCTGCGCCAGACCCGACTCCCACTCCACCCACGACTCCTGGAGGCGGCGCTGGCGGTGCCCGCGTCCATTGTCCGCCACCAGATACAGAACCTGATAACAAAGATGGTGGAAATCAGCAATAATTCTTACAAAATATGAATCTATGATAAGACAAGAAGATTAGAGATTCGCAATCTGTCTGGGATTACGTGGAATGCCTACGTTGGTAAAAAAATATACCTAATTTCTGAAGTTTAATTTTTAAAAATAATTTTTACGCTTGAACTACGGATTTAAAGGTTCAAGGAAGTTACAAATGGTTAGTTATCGAAATTGGTTATTCATACGTATTTCTCAAAAACATCTTATTGTTTCTTTATAATTGAGTTTAGTTCCTTGAGAAATATTGCGTCATGTACGTGTTATCTATATGTATATGGAATGAAAACAACGGGTCACTCTGATTAGGCCAGAAAACGTGATAAAAAAGACTGCGTCACACTCTGGAAAACGCTGGTTACACCCGAACTTTGCAGAATTAAGTGAATGATCTGACTAGCCTTTACGAGCTATAAACGGTTTTGTCTGTAATCATCGCGCAAGCTGGATTAATTTGGGAACTTAATTCTATCTGTAAGTTACAGCTTGCTCAAACACCTCTTAACAAACCCATAATTTATAGCCTAATGGGATTGTTCATACATTACGTAAATTATTAGTTTCCAATACAAAACCAGTGCTGCATATTTTTTAGATTAGTTTAGATTTCTTTTACGTTTATGTACATCTAGCCTTAAAGACTCTAAAGTATTTCTTATTTCAGAAACGTCATAACAATGAGCAATTCTTGCTTTAGTTCTTGAGCTGCTACTGCCACTCTGATTTTATTAACTCCCATTGGTAGTCAACGGAGTTGAGTAAGGATCTTTTACTTATCTTTAGCTTCTTCGAGTCCTTTCATTTGAAAAACAAAAACTCTTTGTGTAGTGTCAGTTGCTTATCATAACCAAGTTGTTGAACTTTACGGAAATATAACAGGCGACAATGCAGTGATAATAAATAATAAGTCTTGTGTCGAATTATATTTTTTGAAGGACATTAAAGGCCAGTTGCTCAAGACTGGCTAAGTTCCATGCTTATGTCAAACTCTCTTAAAAATAGGAGTCTCATAGTCCGCATTGGAGCTCCGTCAGTTGTTCATGATAATGTTGATGAAGGGCAGTTTTACAAGTCCCTAATAAAATTGGCAGATAGAAGCAGCTATTAACAAGTGGATATTGAACATCTTCCAGAGAGAGAAACCAACCGTAAGAATCAGTGAAGTGGTTACATAAAAAGTGCCAATAGTTTATTTATGGATAATAAAGTTGTAATTTTCGTAACAATTCATTTTCAGTCATTACTCGGACTCCAAAGGTGGGGAAAATATCAATTGAAATATTAGACAATAGATGCCCTTGAAATTCAAAGAGTATGCACTAAAAAGGTCAAATTATAACTGGCTAGATGGCAGACAATTACGAGTGACGTCATATGCCATGTTCTCGACCTAGTTCGTGGATAGAATTTACAAGTTTTGAGGTCCTTTTCAACAAAACCGCTTTTTGTTACATGTTTCAGCAGATCCATGATTATCTTAGTAAAAACTTGGAAATCTTCTGGTAGATAAACTGATCTAGTAGTTTTTACAAGACCGAGACCACTGACTGGGCTATTTTCATATTTTCTTGTTTACTTCACCGTCTGATGACGTTGAAGCGTTGAACTGTGAAATCTTACGAAACGGCGAGTTAAAACCCCAACTGGGCCATTTGATCCGAGATAAATCTGTAGTGTTTCGTACAAACCTCATAGCGTAACGGGAATCAAGAGAAAGCCTCAAGACATAAGATGTCAAGATTTCTTTCGACAAACACCAGATTGCTGGTAATTGTCCCGTTATCTTTAAACCGTTAACAATGACAAATCTTTTTTGGGATACATATCGATATTTTCATTAATAATAAAGAATCCAGTTTAATAATGTTGAAGCTATAAATAACAAATTAATTATTTGATAATGGAATAAATTCTTAATATATATGCGACAACTTTTAGCTGCGCTATCGCAACCATAAACGGGTCTTACAGAATATTTAACAATGAAAACGAGTCTGGATAAGCCGGGATTATCCAAGGCTTTTATGTCTGGGGTTCGTATTTCTTTCGAATCGTTGTTTACAATTTTCCTTTAGAGCTAACGCGTCAATCGGACTATTGTAAGAGAAACTTGACATAATAATTGTATGGGTATGGAATGTAGGCTTAAGTTTTTCAAACCTACTTTTGAAATAGAGTAGGTTATTCTCAAATGCATGTTAACTGATTACTTTCGTTGTAATAACTCTACATATTCCTTATTATGAAGCATAGTAGAGTACTTATTTGCGTCATTTAGCCTGTTTAAACCGCATCATAGTTAAAACTTCCGAAGGGATTCCCAATAGTGAAGAAAACAGCAATGTAAACATGCCCTGAGGAAAACCGCGTGATTTCCTTATTTGAATTAATTAATTCGAACTCCTTAATTATCAAAAAGTTGTGATTATTTACAAGGCCTTTCTTTTGCAGTTCTATGTAATATAGCTCTTTTTAATAGCACTCTTTTGACCATTTTCTTTTTGAAATATCTTCATGAAAATCATGAAATTCGTTTCGATTATCGTTTTACTATCTGATGCCTCAAACTGCTTATCAGTTTTACAAATGGGACCAAGCTTTTGTGTCTTGGATATAGTTCAAAGGCAGAAACAAATTCAAAGGACCCCTCCTTTGAATTGCCTGTATCGAATACTTTATCTAGTCATTTAGAAGCTGCCACAAAACCATAGCAAAACTTTTATAAAGATCTATTAGTAACGTCCTTCACTACGACCCGTTTTTATTGATGAATGATGCAATAACCACTACGCCTTCGCATTTTAAGGCTTGAAACGTCTAGATTTTGATGGATTTAGCGGGAAATGACCGATGGTCAAGTTATATCCATGGTTACAGTTGTGTAACTTTACTAGTTATTTCTTTTTCGAGTTTTTGTAGGCACTTACTTCAGAAATAGAAATAAAAGAATCTACTTTAGATTATTTTCTTTGCTTACGTTTAATCGTACTCATGCGTATATCTTTATATATATCTTTCAAAAAAGAGCCGGTAAGAATGATGGTTAGTTAATAACCGTGTTTTCAGTTAATTATGGATATGACAGGGACAAAAACATAATTGTCGTTTGCACACTGATAAAGGAGATAATTGTGCAAAAACAGTCATAATGCAAATTGTTTTTACATGTCAAGGTTCCACGCTGAAGGTTTAAAAAGCCTTCGCATTTTTTGACAATCTTAAATATCACTGAATATTCTTATTATTCTTATATAACCGCAATTTTTACTTTGGATTTTATTCCTATGGTAATAAAGTTTAAAGTTCGATCAATAGTTGGACCCTTTACCCTTGAATTGTAATAGTCGGGACGTAAATAGGTCGAAACTCTCGACTGTTATTCATCTCCCCACTTCCCCGGTGCCTATTGTAGTATTGTAACATTAATCATACGAGGGTTGGGGGGGGAATGTCACAATTGACTTTTTCATTAATAAATTGGGAATATGCCACGTTGGGGAAACATCTTAAGCTTCCATAAAATCATCGGACAAGTTTAATATCACCTATCATATTTAAAGACTGCAAAACATCAATCTGTAAATATCAGTTATTGCGCCTTTTGCGGAAATAAATGAGAACCAACCTACCAATCGCCAACGGTTACGTCATTAATTTATTCTAAGAAGTTAAAATGTCCAGATTGAGAAATAGCAAAAAAACGAGTTTTGCTAAAAGCAACCTCTTTACCTTATTTTGAAAATAACTAAGTAAAAGGAGAAAAGATCTCAGAGGTGTAAAAGAAACAAATTTTTCGCGAGATAAAGATACGGCAGAAAAGGCGCCAAAACTTTGATCACGATTTATTATACTCCTTTCTTGGAAGAAATTGTTATTCTGGAGTACATAATAATGACAGTGTATTGTTTGGAATTACCCCCTCAAGATCGTTGATTGTAGCATCAATGTCTACGGCCTGTTATGTCATTGTTTTGTAAATAATGGGTTGCGACGTGTACTAGCTATTCATTCAAAAATCGAGATAGACCATCTTATTGGTAGACCTAAAAGTGACGATATTTAAATGGAAAACTATGATAAAAAATCACACCTTTAGTTACTTCATAAGCTAATTGGATAAACAAAAACAGCAAGGACGGAAACCGTCCGAAGAAACCTTTAGGTTTTTTATAAGTCGCACGAAATATAAATAAGTTTTCCAATAACAGGTATTTGTGGACATTACTGACGTAATTTTTTGTTACAGAATTTCCATTGTTTAGGATAGAGAATTTAAATTTTCAATAAACGAATGGAAACAGTGGGGTTTTGTTGAGGATAATATTTTACTTCAATTAGGTAACATTCATTATGTGGAATTAGCAAGGAAAATTAATAGTTTTCTCTTATTGCTTATAGCTAAATATTATTTTGTTAATAAAAACGACTTGTGACGTAAATATTCTTATCTGCAAAAATAAGAAAACTTGGAAACTTCGCGTCTTGGGTTTCATTGAAGTAATTCGAGATTTTCTTATTGAGATAATTCTTGATTACTTTTGAGAAACATGTCGATTTTCTTGAATTTATCAGTAACAAGTTTTAATAAACGCATGAGACTAAAACTAGGGGTGGGTGTTCAATAGTTTTTAGTAATGAGGAACTTTTGAGAAAGGATCTCTAGAATTAAGTACTATTGTAAGCACCTTATCTACATCATATATATTCTGGATATGGCTTAATCTTACATATCAGAGAATTAATACTAATTGACTACGTTTTTTTATGAGATGTAAGAGATTAAATTATTTAATTTTCTAAATAGAAGTAAAAGTATAGTAAGAAATACGGGACAAAACAGTTAAAAGACAAAGAGGTTGTTTCTTTCGAATTTAAAATGAATAATTAAAAAGGCTGAAGTACAGTCAGCATCTAGAGTTGTAACAAGTTTTAGTGCATCAATTTCTTAGTTCCATTTTTGTAACAAAATAACAATTACTTATGTATAATTTCTGTATCCTTGTTTATCAATGATGTACAGAAATATCTAGAACCACATCCAATGCCCTAACAAACTATTAGTTTTTATTTCTAACAGTCATTATTCAAGCCTTGCATGACCTTGTATTTTTTCATTCATTGTTGAATGTCAAAAAAACATTTTTTTTTGTTATTTCATTTGAGCAAAAAATAATTTTAGGTTTGTTCTACTACTTCAGGTAGTCTTTGAACAAATACATATTCAACATTTTAGCAACCAAACCAGACAAATCCAATCATAAAATAAATATGTGTGTATTTGTCTCACTATTATAATAAGCCTTATTTTAATTCAATACATTTTAATTGCTTTAGGTTGTGCAGTTTTTTTTGCTCCTAAAAATATAACTGGTTGTTTTTTTTGTCCAAGATATAAATAAGGTTGGATATAATTATTTTTTGTACTTTGAAATTATAAAGTAGATACCTACTTACTCATAGTAGGTTTTTTTTGTAATTAGTGAGACAACTTCTAATATTATTACTTATTCTTATTTGGTTTGGTTTAGATAAATAATTATTAGTTAATATTTAAGTCTACATTTATAGGCAGTTTGTTAATTATGTATATTGTAACTGTACAATTTAATAACATAAATAGTGAAAAGTGGGTGTTACATTGTACAGCATAATGTGCACCTCTGCCTACCCCTTCGGGGATAAAAGGCGTAATGTTATGTTATGTTACATTTTAATGTAAATATTTGTAGTTAGTATTTAGTCTTTTTTGGTAACATAATAATGCACTTAAAAAATAATAAAGCAAAATTATTGAAAACATAATTATTGGGGTTATTATGACATATCATAACCTAATTGAGATTAGGTAACTATTTAAGTATTATTTTTAAACCAAAAATATTAAGTTTATAGTAAATGAACTAGCTGACTGTACATGACCTAAACAACCACATGCTAATATAAGCTAAGTAAGCCTATTTAAGCTTTGGGAATATGTAATAAGTATGTAGTTTAAGTTTAATATATACTTTGTATAGTTATGGATGGAACCAGGTATGGATTTCCAATCTGACGGTAATGATGCTGAAAACTTAAAACTAAACCTTAAGCTAATTATCTCACCTTTAGCTGATATCAACAGCTGTGAGTCAACAACTTTGTTTGGCCAGTACTCCTCAAACTCTGTTCCCGGTGGAAAATAGCTTTTAATGTCTGACAAACTAATCACTGAACACGTCTCACTAGCAAACAGTTCATTCCGAATACCCTGCACTTTACAACAGAACTTCAAGTATGACAGGTCCCAGCCTTTCAACTGGTCGGCCTTTAATTTCAAATTGTCTGTTTCACCTTCAAAGTAAAATAGAGGAACAAATTTCTGGCTATCCCGCACCGTGTATGGTACAACAGACTCCTTGTTTATCCTAATGAAACCACACTTGTCTTTACTATTTGTTGTACCTCTTAATAACTTATTATAACATACATCTAGGAAGTTATAGAACTCATAGGCATCCGATAACCGCACCACTAAGTCTTTCTGAGTGAATGGATCCCGGCCAAACTGTCCATCGCAGTGTCTGTTGTTGATCTCATTCAGCAGTCTGGCCTCAATCTCAGTGATGTAGTAACTTCTAATACAGGTACACGAGTAAATGTCTGCGTGTAGATAGTTCAAGTACTTGTTCAGCAGCTTGATCTCCACCATCCTGACAGCCACATACTTCTCAGAGGACCGGTATATGTATGGTATATGACATTTACCCAGCATGTCCCACCCAAAATGACCTTTCCAACTAGCCTCATCAGGAGCCGGGTTCTTTTTGTCACCATCAGGCGCAGGTCGCAATTCACTAGCAGTTGTGGCAGCATTTGGTTTTCGAGCTAAGAAGTTGAGAAGTCCCATTTGTCCGCCGGAGCCCGGCGGCGCCACGCCGACGAGCGAGCCGGGCGGTGGCCGTGCTGCCGCCACCGACGCTGCTAGTGCCTTGGCCTTATTGGCCTCCACCATCTTGGCGGCCAATTCCCTAATCTCAGCCTCATCAGGCCGCTCTGTCTTTACCTTGACCATTGTTGAAGCACTGGTCGCGGTGTCCGTCATGTTTTCTATCACACTTCACAGCTCGTGAAAATAAAGCACAGTTTTTTATATTCTTCACGTTGCTCTAATCCAGGGCTACATTCTGTAGCGTCGCCGCGACAAGTTTCAGTCAAAAATTAGTAAACAATCGTTTTGCACGATGCGCATCGTCCACTTATCACTTCACTATTTTGACAGATGATCACCGAAGCTTACGATGCGTAAACGAATATTCAAATTCACTATCATTCACACATTCCACGACAAGTTTCCACAGTTGATCCGAGTTCACTGTTCATAGTCCATCCATGTGAGGGTCGACAGAACTAAGAAAAATAAGTTCCGCACTATACTGACGACGTCAACTTTTGAAAATTTGTTTTCGCGGTAATTACTTATTGATTTATAAACACTTTTTAACCCCTTGAAATTATCATTAATTGGAAAAATATTTTTCTTATTTAACCACGCTGTGGTAGGTAAGGAACATGAAACCCAAATTTTGTGTTCAGGGAAATGCCCAATACCGTTGTGTAGTCTCGTGGGGAGTGCAATTCATGTACATTTTTCACCTTTTGGTGACTCAGCAACGAACAAAATGGCCGCCGACAAGGCTTTGTTGGCCAATCAGGTCACTGCTAGCGACCATACATATCTACAAAAGTCCCGTCGATGACGTAGCTGCACTCCCCACGAGACTAGTTCTCAAGGACTTTTCATTTTGTTCTATTTTCGACTAATTTAATTTTGGAAATCAGTCATTAAAAGTGTCATAAATCGATCCTAGAAAATATAAATTTTGCAGATTTTTTTAAAATGCGTAGGATCACAAATTACATTATATATTCTATACCTAAAATATAATTTATGAATGTACTCTTTACAAAGTAGTCACTATCGGTAGTCTCGCTACAGCTGCTTCGCTGTCAGTTGGGCGTTCTAAAACAAACAGTAGTACGAAACTGTACTTTATGCGCTTGTCATAGAGAGTATGTGTTTTTCTTGACTCGACAATCTTGGTCTTACGGACAGTGTGTAGCGAGACTAGCCGACGCGCGCATTCCACGAACAATAATCCCCTGCATGAGTGAACGAGATAGCAACAAGTAAAAAGTAGATGTCAAATGTTTAGGTATTTTACTATGAACGTAAAGAGAACGTAGGTAGGTATATAATGCAATTACAAGCTTACGTAAGTATTTTAACCTACTTGGTAACAAAGTAGGTAGGTGCAGATAGCGGGATTTGGTTGATTTTATTTTTTCTTATGTGAGGGTACCCTTTTGGGTACCTACTTGGATAGGTAAGTACTCAGCGTTAGGAAAAAAATGTTTGTTTGAAGGTTTCGGGAAGGCGTTACAAAGTCCGGCACTGATAACACTCCTGATAACATTATCAATGTAATCTAATCTAAATATGACACTCGTAAATTATTAACAGAGGTTAGGCTTTTGTTTGAGGCTGTTTTTATATAATGAAGTAGGTATTTACAAAAAACAGAAACTAAATCTTGTGATCTTTATAATTATTGATCGTGGTTAGCATAAGGTTGCTTTTTGTATGGCGTGCTATGCGCCTAATGTAAAACTGTCTATAGAAATACAGTAATACCTAATAAAAGTAGGTATTCCTTCTGCTTATAAATATTCATGTATCAACTTATCGATTGACCCGGAACGTATTGATGTAATGTAACCACATTGTAAAAGGTTGTAAGTAAACTTATCTATTATCAAAGCATGTATAGATTAAGTTTTTATTCATGTTTGAAAATCTCCATTATACAGACAAAAAAAAAAGAAAATGCATGATGCTGATGCATAATGGTTGCACGTATGTTTAATGCATAATGCATGTATAAAAACAAACACGTAGATAAGGTACCCTTACAGATGAGAAAAAATCATTGTACCTAGAAAAAAAGAATTATGGCTGAAGCATAGACAAAGTTACAGCTAATTTAATCTGTGAAGAAACTATTAATAGACAATAGGGGCAGCGTAAAACCTATTTTTAAAATTGTAACATTCGATCGAAATTTCTTCGAATCCTTATAATGCAGCATGGGGTCTCCGTAGTTCATAAAAGTTCATTGACCTATTAACCTATAAATAAAAATTAAAAAGCTATAAAGCTAAAAATCTATAAAGCTAAGTAAGTACTTAGGAAATAGAATAAGCTAGGTATTTGCTTCGGTCATCAAATTAAAGTAAATATTACTTAGTCTATTTGAAAACACGTGGTTTATTAATTACAAAACCGTCATTTTACTTATGACACTGCAAAACATACTGAGGAATTTCTTAGAAATCAAGTTAGGGTTTTTTTCTAATAATCAAGCATAGTGCAGAGCAGGCATAAGGCGTACAGGTAGGCAACAGCACAACAAACTGTTCCAATATTTTATTAGTTTCTGACATATTTTAACCAACTTCAAAAAAGGTGGAGCCTGTAGGTAATATGTAAGACCCAATAAAAAATTGAGGCTTCCGTTTGTAGTTATTTAATAGGCCATAATTATTATTACAACTACTGTTGTATAATGATTATTATCATCGATTAAACTAATAATAACTAAAAATTTAAATCATTCGTTACACTTGATTTGGGAACAGAACCTTGGTTTTCAATGTCCGAAGGCTAGATTTAGAAAGAGGAGACACTACAGACATTTGGTGCAAAGTTCTTGACCTTAATAATTTCAATGTTGTAACTTTGCAGCTACTTTTTATTCTGCAAGGGTAAAGTGTGCATAAGGTTAAAAGTCCTGCATTAAACTGCTGCTGCAATTTGTGAAAATTAATAAAGGTAAGTATTTTTTCGACGCGGGAATCGAACCCCTGAATACTAGTACTACTAGTTACGTACCTACGGTCGCTACCAGTATATACATACATACATAACTTCACGCCTGTCTCTTATGGGGGTAGGCAGAAACTATGGAACGCCAATTACTACGATTCCTACATACCTCTTTCGCTTCATCAACAGTCATCAATCTTTTCATGCATGCTCTTTTCATAGATTGGCGATAAGTATAATAAAAAAGGGCCAAATTAAAAGTACCCTTAACCGCTACCAGTAAGTACTTTTATTATAAAACACTTAAAACAATTCAATAAAGAAGGTACCTACTGAACTTTGATTGCCATTCCCAAACCAAATGCGATCATGCCAATAGACAGTCCTGTCGCGCCAGAGAAATTTATTTTAGCAATGAGTTGACCCACGACATCTTTTTTGTGTATTGCGCCCAAGCGCATCAACATGCCTTAATCGTAAAAAAGATTTTCAACTTTACTGCTTTGAAGTAAAGGCGATATTCTATTGGGATAAAATGGTAATTTGGGATAGCATAATCTGCTATTGTCTGTTCTTCAGCAAGTAACTTTTCTTATTATTGTGAATAAGTCTTACTAAACTGAGGCCTTAGTTCGAGTTTGATTTACGTTTAAAGTATTCGAAACGAGTATGCGTTCCAGAGTGTCAAGCACGAATTACTATCGCATTCGTAACGTTATACCTAGTATCGAGCGCGCTCGGTGCTCTGATTGGTTGGTTCACTGGTGCCGACCAATACGATAGTAATTCGTGCTTGACACTCTGCGCTCTGATTGGCCGGCTCGAATGAAACAACCAATCAGAGCGCCGAACGCGTACTCGTTTCGAATACTTTAAACGTAAAACAAACTCGTACTAAGGCCTCTGTGTACCTGATGCTTTAGCTTTTATGTTAATTTTTTAACCACCGTCCACCTAATCAGGGCAGCAAAATCAAAAGTTGTTTAATTTATTTATCTGGCAAACCAAGTTCAATAATCCCTTCGGTCATTAACCCCATCAATTAAAGGGAAGTCTGTTCAACCAAACCACACTCCACAGTACCTAATCTCGATAGGAAAAACGTCACTAAAAATGATTCAGCCGTTTCATAGTAATTTTATTCATCAAAACAGTTTTATTACTTGAACAGTTATGTTGTGACATCATAGTTTATTGGTTATCTGAAGGGGTAGGTAGGCGTCTCTTTTATGGAACTGAATTCTTCTACAATCAATGCTTGGCTTAGTTCGTACCTACCTATCTAAAAATACCTAAATGGGATGTTGTGACATTAGTAGTATTGTGACATAAGTAGGTACTTACCTAACAATTTGATACGACACCTGCATATATGTAGATGTAACTGCCTGTACCTAAAATGATATGGAGATAATAATAGGTGTCTTTACTCAAATCAATATGTACATAGTATAAAACAAAGTCGCTTTCGCTGTATGTCCGTATGTATGCTTAGATCTTTAAAACTACGCAACGGATTTTGATGCGGTTTTTTTTAATAGATAGAGTGATTCTTAAGAAAGGTTTGTATGTATAATACATGCATATTGCACCCGTGCGAAGCCGGGGCGGGTCACTAGTAAACAATAACGTTTTACTCATTACCATTAGGTACTTCAGCTTCCTTAGAACCTACAGTTAATCAGGTAGGACATTAAAATATAGAAGTTTTTCAATTTCCATTCCTATGAGCAAGTTGCGTACGCAGATGTCAGCCCTGGTGGAGAGCCTACCTGTTGAAGGTCGTATCGTATGGAGCCAAGAGCCAAGGGAAGCACTCCCTTCCCAACGTTCAATTGGGAATGGCTTGGCGTGTATGTGCTTCATTGCAAAAGGAGCTGAAGGATGAGTGTAATGTGCAATGAAATGATATCATCAACAGCTTATAAATGCCCACTGTTGAGCAAAGCCTCTTCTCACACGGAGAAGGTTAGAGCATTAATCACCACGCTTGCTCAATGCGGGTTGGCGATTTCAAACCTCTAATTAGAAATTATAAGCCACGATTCACGATCACGATGTTTTCCTTCACCGTTGGTCAGTGGTGTCTAAATAATCTTAGAAAGTACATATAACTCGGAAAAAGTCACATTGGTACTTGCCGTTGGTAGGTTTCGAACTCGCACCCTCGTGCATGAGAATCAGGCGTCTTCAACCTCCGGGCCACCACGAGTGACCACGACATGTAATGATATAACATTCGAAAATTTATGTGCCGTCATCCTTTCAGTCAACGACTCAACCCTCTCAAAGAAAGCCATGCGTTGAACGCGTGGTCCAGTTAGTAAATAAGGACAAAACAGTAGGTGCGTATGTACCTCACTACGTATACCTACCTACCAATTGTTTTCGTTCATATGGAAAACCCCAGTGGATATAATTATAATAAGCAGTTACCTTAACTGACATAATATCTACCTACATGTTGTATTATTATGTGTGTCTTTACCATTCACGGGACCACAGGGTCCCGGTCGTTTGGGAGGCGTACGAGGGGCCGAAGCCAACTGCGCAGAGGCCCTTTATAAAACTTTAATATAAATGTAATAGACATTATTTTTTTTTTTAAGCGGGGAAAATCATCGAATGACTGCTCTCGCCTGGGTGAGGCGGCAGGGAGTGTCAGACTCTTGCTGACTAAAAACCACCCCGTTCCTTCTCCTGCACGTCGAGCCGGAGCCCCGGTTACCCGTTAGGTTCTCCGCGACTCCGAATCGGCAT